GAAAGAAAGAAAGAAAGAAAGAAAGAAAGAAAGAAAGAAAGAAAGAAAGAAAGGAGAAGGAGGGAGAGAGAAACCTTGCCCCAACAATGACCAGTTGGGGTCCACTTATTGACCCTCTCCTGCACCCCAAGCCCAATACCCCAGCACCCACCTGATGAAACCAGGGTTTCAGCCCCCACTTCTCACTTCTTTCATGTTTCTTCACAGTGCGCGTTACCAGCTGTCATATTTTATATCCGTTTGCTAAACTGCTCCTTGTAGGCCACCCCCACACTAGAATGTGATGACTTGTTCATTTATATATCCCTAGCAAGTAGTGCAGTGCCCAAAATATAAGTGCTAAACCATTATATGATGGCTGAATGAGCAAATGAGACACAGCACCTGTCTCCCAATGCTCTCCGTCTGGCAGCGGAGCCAGACAGGGACAGTTAGCTGCAAGACGGGAGAAAAGACTTCTGCTGTGGGGGAAGGGAGCGTGAAAAGAAAGCTCCATCCAGACTGCAGGTCAGGAGCTTCTCTGCCCGGGCTGGAGGGGGCTGGGGGTGGACCAAACTGAGATGCTGAAGACATGGAGCCATCATTCCACAAACAAAAGTCATCGGGGAGAATATTCCAGAAAAAGACCAGCTTCAAAGAGGAGAAGGATGCTCTCTGGGAAAATGAAAGTTGTTTGGTGTGGCAAGCCCAAGGGAAGCTGGGCTGGAGAGAGATGGCAGGTCAGACTTCGCTGTGCTCCCGAAGTCCACCGGTAGTTTAGGAGTGAGGAGGAGAAGAGTGTGGGGTGCTTTCAGCTGTGGAGAGAACATGCTGAGGCTGCGGGGCAGGAAGTTCCCTCTGGCTTCTGGGGAGGCAAAGGGGCCTAAAGGAGGCTCCGTTCAGAGGGGCGCTGGTTCTGAACCAGGGCTGATGAGGCAGTGGGACCCCTTGGGGATTCTGCTGGTGGAAGGACACACTGAGTGGGCTGAGTGAGTGGGCTCATTTGATGGGCAGAGGGGCTGCTCAGTTGGTGTTGGTTAGGGTGATCGGAAAGATGAAGAGCCCACAGCCCAGACTCCTGAGCCAATACTTTTTAATTAAGGTTGGATTTAGCAAAACTAAAAATAGATATATGGGACATGAGGCGGAATTTGAATTTCAGATAGACGAGTTAACTTCTTAGTGTGAGCATGTCTTCAAAAGTAAAATCCCTTTGCATTATCTGGAATTCTCTCTTCAACAGCCACCGTTCACCCACGCCCATGCCTGATGAAATAACGGTGCCCAATAGTCCCAAGCCTTCCTGAGACCACGCCCACTGTCAGCCCTTCCTCGGAGCCTTTCTCTGAGCAGCATCCCCAAACTCCATCCCAGACCCTCCTGCCTTCCTTCCATCTGAAAGACCAGAAGCTGGTCCTCCACCTATGCTGCATCTGTTGGGAACACTAAGGACGGCTAGAGCAGACCTGATGGCCCATACCTCCTCTAGCTGACCTAACTTCCCACCCCCACTGGGGTAGTTACTTGAAGTGCTACTCCAGAGCCTGGACCTCAGTGGGGTGCAGAGCCACAGGCTAGGACTGACATTGTGATCATGTCCTCCTTTGGGTGGCTCTGGGTTTACCGGTTCTGAGAGGCCAGGTCCTTGGCTCAAGCAAGGACCCTGTTTCACCTGAGTCATCTCTCCCACCCACCCAGTTGTCCAAAGATTCCTCAGTAACATGGAGACCAAACCCAAGGATCTCTATGTTGAACTAACCATGGGGGATCTGGGGCAGGATCCAGCCTGGAGCCAGAGTGGAAAAGAGGCCTTCCCTGTGGTGCACATGAAAGATGTGGTAAATGGACCAGTGGAGGACTCAGAAACGGGGGGGGGGGGGGGGGGGGACCATGCATGCCCGGAGTTGTAGAGTGTAGGGAACATCATTGGTACAGTAGGGGCCAGGGTGGCTGAGCAAGGTCCTCCTCCAAGAAAAGTCGGGGAGGAGGCCACAAGATGGAAGGATATACCTAAGGAGAAGCTGTGGGTCAAATAGCGCCAGGCCTGGGACCTAAACAGCTTCCCTCAGTTGAAGCTGTTCACAATAATGGGGGGTTTGAAGAGATGGTTTAGTACACAAGAGCATTTGTGCACACACATGAGATCCTGAGTTCAGATCCCAGCACCTATGTAAAAAGTCAAGTATGTCACGTGAGCCTGTAACCCCAGTGCTGGTGTGGGGGGGCAGGAGGGGTATTGGATGAAAGTAGAGGATTGCTGGGGTTGCTGGCCGTCAGCCTGGCTCCGTGATCACCGAGAAACCCTGTCTCAAGGAAATAAGGCAGAGAGTCAGAGAATAGGGCACCCAATATCCTTCTCTGGTTCCAGGACATATGTGTAAGGCTATTGCACCTGCATACATGTGTACACATACACCATACACAGAGAGAGATAATTAGAATAAAAATTATAATATAAATCTAATAATAGCAGTGACCACTTATTGAGGCCTCATGTAGTTAGACTTAAGTGGATTTTCTTTTACTGAATCTTCCAAATAGTTACTACTGCTGTCCCTGCTGTAGATGGGGAAACTAAGGCACAAAGAGGCTGAACAACTTGCCCGCAGCCACAGACCTGGCGTCTGATCCCAGGCAGCCTGGTCCAGAGCCTGTACACTCCCCAGCCAGTGAGGAGCTAAGTACGTGATTACCCAGAAACACTCAGAGGTCACCCTGGGAAGATGGAGACATGATTACCCAGAAATGTACAGGAAGGCAGAGGACCCTCCAGGAGGACGGCATCCAGCTCTGATTCCCTTTCTGTGGTTCAAGTACATGGTATACCTGATGTCTACCCCAGGCACCTACTCAGGTGCCAGGAACCCCCAACCATGACCTTGTTTGGCTGCACAGAGAAAGAGACAATGGATGTGTGAAAGACAATGGTGTTGTAGGCCCCAGACTCTCCTACTGGTCGATGGGTCCTCAGACAGGTAGGTAACAGCTGCATTTCCAGGGGCAATTTTGGCACACAAGCCAACAGCGCCCCCTACTGTCCATCCTGGGGAAAGCACTGCCTCGCATCTGGTCTGACTGGCAGCACAGATGCTCTCCCATTGTGGGCAGAGTTTGTAGATTTTGAACACACACTCTCATGTCCACCAGGAAAATTTGGCCTACACAGTGGGCTAGCAGCTAGATCCCTCAAGCCCAGCAGGCTCTGCTTCAGGGAAAGACACAGAGGCCTGGTCTTGGCTGTGTGGTTAAGGAGGGGGAAGGGCTGGATTTCTTGACCTTTGGAAAGATAGAAACTTGAAGTTTTCATCAGTTGGGACTGGCAAAAGGAAGAATGGCCCCAGAAACAGGCCACAACGCTGTATCTGTAAGTGCTGAGCAGGGTGCAAGGTGTGATCCAGTCTGGCGTAACCTCCTGGCTGGTAGGCCATAGCCTGGCCAATAGAGCTGCACCCAGGCATGAAGGACCAGGACAAGGAGCCCCATGCTGCCTTCTGCCCTAGGTAATTCTGGGAGGTGAAAAGGATCCCTTGAGGGTACAGTGGACTCCGGTGTTCCACAACCTGCCCACCACCGTCCCTGGATGAGCCAAGGCCGTGGGCTGCTGGAAGCCGGAGAGGCTGAGGCTGCAGGCCGGGAGCTGGGTTAATGTGTCGTCTGGGAGAAGCTGACTGCCTCCATCTCCGCCTTGGCTTGGGCGTCTGAGTGACGTCTTTGCGAACAGAACCACAGGAAGAGGAAGAAACCTGCAAGACAGGCTGGTCAATGAGAACGGCACCAGAACTAACAACCTCCTGTCGTTGGGGGATAAAGGGACAGACCCGGAGGGCACCTTCCTGCAGTTCAAAGGCCATTCTCAGGCTGGAGAGATGGCTCAGTGGTTAAGAGCACTGACTGCGCTTCCAGAGGACCTGAGTTCAATTCCCAGCAACCACATGGTGGCTCACAGCCATCTGTAATGAGATCTGGTGCCCTTTTCTGGCAGGCAGGCGTACGTGGAGGCAGAATGTTGTATACATAATAAATAAATCTTAAAAAAAAAAAACAGAAAAAAAAAAACAAAGGCCACTCTCTCCTCTGGGCAGATATATCCCCAGATCAGCTTAAATGGAGCTGTGGACTCAACCATCATCCACCCCTTGACCTAGAGACCCTCGGTGACCAGCCCCCTCCCAGTGCCTGCCACGCTGTGAGCTCCCGCAGCCCTACCATAGAGCGAGTTGAAGATGGTGAAGAGGAAGAGCTGAGGCAGCAGGAAGACACCAAAGGAGAAGAAGGCTAGGGCCCAGGTGGTGCCCAGGAGCACCGTGAGGCCCAGCACCATGACGGTGTCCCGGCAGGCCCAGGAGCTCAGCGCCTTCTTCTGCGCCCGTAACCTGCACAATATCCGCAGAGCCCAGGCCAGCACCACCAGGTTGAACAGAGAAGTGAGGCCACCATAGCCCATGACCAGGACTCTATGTACCATGGGACTGCGCACCCAACACCTGCAGGATAGGAGGAAAGGTCAGGATTAGCAGGACCCCAAGACCTGCAGGAGGTCAAGTGCACCTGAGCCTTGGGGCTGACTCTACCCCTGCCTGGTCTTGCTGTTCCAGGGATTGTAACTTGCCTGATAGTTCATATGCCCTAACCCCGAGCCCAGTTTCCTACCAGCCACCATGACGGGATCATCCGACACCTCCATCCACTTCCTGAAGTGCCTCCTCTCAGCCACGGTATCTCAAGTCTCCTTTCCTCATCCTGCTGCCTCACCTCCTCTATGCCAACCTGATCAATGTCTTGCAGATCGCTGGTCTGGGCTCTCATTCTAGAAGCTTCCTCTTCCACTCCACCCACCACCGCCACCATCTTGCCACCACCTCTGTGTAATGGGACACACCTCCCTAGACATTTCCCCACCTAGAGCTAAGCAGTACGTGAAGCACCACCCCATGGTTTGCCGGGCAGATGCTCTAGCATGAAAGAGCTGGGGAGCAGAAGAGCGGTAGGGAAATCCCACAGAGGACACTGAACCTAGGGGTGCCTGCTGGGCCCTGACCTGGGCCTAGACCCTCCAAGAGGCCTTGGACTTTTCCTCTCTAGGACACTTCAAAAGAGGTGCTAATCTTTGCTTCGATCAGAGCATGCCCCATGGTCAGCATGGGTGATCCCAGGCAATCCTCATGACAGACCAGGAGCAAGCACCTAACCATCTCCATTCCATAGTTAAGACTTCTGCTTAGAAGCATACACTGGCTGGGGCAAGGGTTGAACTTGAAGCCCCTTAGTCTGGGACCTGAGTCTGGGTTCCTGTCACAATCACATATAGATACCCACCTCCTGGGGCCCTGATGCTGGAGTCACAGTGGCCTTGAACATCATTTGCAAGAGTCATGCACATGGGTAAGCAGCATTATGCATCCTTCGCTTTTGCTGCTACAGAATATTCTAGCACGAGGCTCTACCACTGCTCACTACTCCAGCATCCCTGCTATATGACCAGACTGCGTTTGGAGAGTCATTTTAGTTTAGAGATGCAGACAGATGAAGGTGGGTAAATAACAAGTAGATAGAAAAGTAGATGATAGGTAGGTAGATAGATAGATGATAGAGAGATAGATGATAGATAGATGATAGATAATAGATAGATAGATGATTGATAGATAATAGATAGATGATAGTTAGATGATAGATAGATAGATGATAGATAGATTGATAGATAATAGATAGATAGATTGATAGATGATAGATAGATAGATAATAGATAGATAGATGATAGATAGATAGATGATAGATAGATAGAGTAGATAGATAGATAGATGATAGATAGATAGATAGATGATAGATAGATGATAGATAGATAGATAGATAGATAGATAGATAGATAGATAGATAGATAGAGTAGATAGATAGATAGATAGATAGATAGATGATAGATAGATAGATAGATGATTGATAGATAGATGATAGATAGATGATAGATAGATAGATAGATAGATAGATAGATAGATAGATAGATAGATAGATAGATAG